GGATCATGCTACTTAAAAGTTCAGCTTCTGGCTCTTGAAAATACTAACCAGTAATTACTTGGCCTTAAGGACTTCTATGAATACATACAGGTTTCCAGATTCATTACAATCTGTTACGTCATTACAACTGAAACAAAAAAAGTGTCATCTTGAAAAGAGAGAGGTTTCCAGGCAGTATCACAATCATTCCAATCAGACTGGAATCATTTGACCAATTCTACGCTGATTATTAAATTAATTAAGAAGCGTGCAGCGGTCATGTAGGGCACGGCTCATTTGTTTTCAAGAAGTTATCAAGCTTTTAGTTTGTGATTTCACTTCATTTGCTCTTCAGGCTCATTGTCTCACTACTGGTTACCAATCACCTTCTGCTTTGCCACTTGTATGATCCCATTTGGGGTTGTGATCCCTGTTTTGAGAACCATTGCCTTAATGTCTGCACGTAATACTCTTTTTAAGGGATCTTTGATGAAAAAGAAACCACAAACGTCTACCTTTTTGGTTTACCAAACCAGACAAAAAAAAAAATAAGCACTCTAAGTATTTCTAGAGACATCAAGCACACTGTAGACGGCCTCTTGTCTTCAGAAAGTTAAACACTAAAATAAACGTCCAGTATGTTTGCATAAGAAATCATCCATACTTCAGTTTCCTTTTAGTTTCAAGCAGCTTCACAACAATTATTCTATTTCATCACTTGTCTCTTTTTAGTCTATGGACTGTGATTTTTCTGGCTGTCAGTGAATAGTCCCTTTATCTAAATCAAATAGCAGTTTCAGAGGCAAAAATATTTGGGGCCACCTTACCCCAGAGAAGTCTTAGCAAATATTTGCTGTTCTGACCCAACATTCTGTCAGTGCTTCTTTAAAGTAGGATTACTTAAAATTAACATCGTTCTATAACCAAGATATATTTGTATCACTTTCATATTTTAAATCTTTCTGTGGCTTACTATGCCATGCATACTTTATTTTGGATTATAATTGTTCTTTTTTATTCTTTGTGTAAAGTAATAAAGTTATTACTGAAACTACTAGAACAAAATTTTACAGTTGCAACCTTTACGAGCTTCTGAATTTGCAGTCCCATATTAGGAAATGATGTTTATACTTTCTTTTTATGTGTGTTGACTATTTTTTGTAATTCAGTCATAAGACATTATTAATTTAAAAGGGAGAATAGCAGTAAATAGAAAAAAAAGTATTTTTAAAAAACATTACTGTCACATTTAAGTATAAAACCATTAACTACCTAGGATATGTTTAAAGACAATAATGCATGTGTTTGTGGGATCAAGGCCCAAGATCAGTATTATTCCATTGCTCAGAACACAGATCAACAAATAACTAACACATGCAGCTGAGGTTCCCTCCCAAACCTTGTAGTTTGAATGACATAAACAAATGCTTTCAAGATTAATATATTTCCCTTTTAAGTAAAACTTTGTTTATTTAAGTGTAACTTGGCTTCTTTTCATAGCTTTTCCTCCTAATATTCAGAATTGGCCGTTCTGCATTACACATTGTACTAGATTAACTATTATTACACAAAAAAAATCTTATTCCAATACATTATAAATATAACACTAGTCATTGCTACTTTAAGGGTCAAGTACTTATTAAATCAAAACAGTTGGAATTTTACTAACATTGTCATCAACATATGCCAGTTATATCCTTCATAAAAACTAGATTTTTCTCATTTTTAATTCACCTTGCTTATCAGCTATTTCCTTCAACTCATCTGAAAAACCCTCAAAAGCTAACTCCACAAGCTCAGACTCTGGAATTTACTGAATACTCTTTTCCCCACTGTGTTTTGGATATGTAAACCATTTCTAACATTGCGAAACTGTTTTAGCAAAGAACTGTCTTTAAAAATGTTTTCAGAAGCGAAATCAACAATATTTTCAGGGTGCAAAGTAAAGCCATTCTGAAGTGGATCCAATCTTTGTATGAATATCAGTAATTTGGTATTCCACACACATGATGTTTATGAGAGAAATAGCTATCTGCGTACAAGCCGTGAACATGCACTCATTTTGAGCAAATGAAGGTACAAAGCAGGTCATTTATAAAGCACACTAAAGCTTTTTCCTTTAATTTTCCTGATTAGCTTCTTTGAGTATTAAATATTCATAAAAGTGCTTGGCATCTTTTTCTCAATACCAAATAAACACTGCATTTAAGAAATTAAAGTGAAGACTTATACTTTTTCTATCTCTTCCTATCTCCTCCAGTACTGTCAAAAATGTACTCCTAGGTTTCAAAAGCATTTCACTTTCATTTCCAAAACATAAAAAACAATTATATATCTCAAAAAATATTTATTTCAGCAAATTTACTTTTCTAATGCAGAATCTTAAAGAGTGCCCCCATATTCTTTTATATCAATGTATCATCACAACCACTTAAACATATAACCCTTCTAAATGTAAAATAATTTCACCTCAGTATTACCATGGTCATCTGTCTCAATAAACTCTTCATCCCTTACATTTTATCCTTGTTTTTGAAATAGTAAAAGTGTGCATATCAACCGTGCGTGTCTGGTAGTGATGATATAACCTGTCAGCTAGAGGGAAGCTTACACTGAAGTAATCTGTCACCACTCTTTTCCTGAAATAAACTATAGCTTTCAGGGACTTCTAGAAAGCAGATACTGACAGAAGTTGTTGTGTCAAAAAGCTGAGTATCCTGCAGCACAGCATCAGGTGCTTTTTGTGTTTACACTACCTCTGGTCCCCCCATCATGCAGTATGAAATTCACCTTCTCATCCTCAAACATGGAATTCACCTATGGGCTCACCCATCAGCTAATGAGTTGTACTATAAAGTAAAATACCTTGGTGACTCTGAAATCATGCTTTGCAATTAAAAAAAAATCCACACACCTGTGTTAAGGATGTTTTTTCACTTAACATATTGATTTTGTTCACAGTGCCCCACTGTCACTCTCCCCTAGACCAGCAATAAACTTTGGGTTATGTCACTTCTAGATTCATACGTCAAGTCTTTCCATCGGTCCTCACTTAGAAACAATTATGTTCTTTGTAGGTTTGCAGTCAAAAAAAGACTTGATACATATATCACATATCTACGTATGATCTGTATAACATACCTGTTAGACATCTACCAAAACACTGACAAGCAGGAACTCAAGTCTCTATCCCCATCTTTGTGAGCAGGACATGTTTTAAAGCCATTTTAAACCAAGACAGCTGGAAGTAGTTTGCTTACTTTGCAAAGTGTTTTACTCTATAGAACACTTTTTTCATGCTAAGAAATGATGACTCTGCCTGCAGTGATCTTACATAATCATTCTAGCTCTTTAATTTCAAAAAATGGAGGCAGCATTCTGCTGCAAATCTCTTGCCACCAAGGATCAAGAATTTCCATTCAGATCTCGTATTGTTGTTATACATGCCTGTTATTGACAAAAAGTTCTGGTGCCATGGTCACAAAAATCCACTGAAGATTTTCCTTTTTTCCAGTCAGCTTTACTAACTATTTTTATCCACATATGTATATTTTATCTATTTGCATTTAAATTATCTATACACCCAATGAAGTTTAAAAGGAAAAAAACTGTACTTGCACTAAAGCAATATTTGCAATGTTACTCATTACCATGATAAGGTGCCTCTTAGAGCTATGTTTCAACAGTTACTCAAAGGATTTTTACCAAAGGAAGCCAGAATTCACCCTGGAAAAAATGGGGTTTGAGAGTACCAGAAAGAAGACTGAAAATAGTTCTAGGCCCTTGTATGGTGTATGAACAACAAACTAATGTCATATAATAACATTATTCATATTCTGTTGGCATCATAAGTCTGTAAAAGCATAAACTGATAGGTATTGATACTCAGAGCTCTTAATAACGCCAATAGAATTTGGAGGGAAAATCAAGTCTTTAGTATACCAGAAAAAAGATCATGGAATCATAGAACGGTTTGGGTTGGCAGGGACCTTAAAGATCATCTTGTTCCAACCCCCCTGCCATGAGCAGGGACTTCTTCCACTAGATCAGGTTGCTCAGAGCTCCATCCAACCTGGCCTTGAACACTTCCAGAGAGGGGACATCCACAACTTCTCTGGGCAACCTGTTCCAGTGCTTCACCACCCTCATGGTGAAGAATTTCTTCCTAATATCCAATCTAAATCTGCACTCTTTTAGTTTAAAGCCATTCCCCCTTGTCCTATCACTACACACCCTTGTAAAAAGTCCCTCTCCATTCTTCCTGTAGGCCCCCTTCCTATAACTGTAGCTACGTTTAATCAATCATAGATAAACCCAAACACCTAACTCAACCTAAAAAAATCAGTTGAGATTACATTTATTCTTCTTTATTAAAATTTCTATTTAACTTACTTATTTTTTCACTGTTGACTAAGCAAGTTCAGAAGCTGCAAAAACTGTATCTGCACTGGAGACAAGGCACTTTTCTGGTTGGTAGAACACATTTCCCAGGCAAAAATTGTCTAATTTAAACAGCTTTTGTGAGTGCAATGGATGCTGGAGCGCTAACCTGTTTTGCCTCCAGCTGAGGCAATCTGCTGCCATTGCAGATACAGACACGGTTTGTTGCACCACCTATAAGCCACGCCCCTTCTGTCACCTGAATACCAAACACTGTTTTGATGGAATGTAAAATTCTGCAGAACCACTGATCAAATGTACTTTTACTATTTTTCACTTTTTTTAATGCTGCAAAAAGCAAATTTCAAAGCAGAAAAGCAAAAAAAAAAAAAGGGCACTGCCACTTTCGCACGCTCCTAAAAAATGTTTACCATTTATTCCTCTCTAATTAACCAGCTTACATTTTTGCTTATAACTACAGGCTCTTCTGAATTTTGAACAAGAATAGGCAAGAATCTTCCTGGCAAATCTTTTTCATGTCATATTTATTTCCCTTTGATTTTGTTTTAAATGAAGATTCTATCATTAATCATACAAATGACAAAAGTAGATAGTTTGCACATAGAAAGAGAATTACATACCTCATATTGGATAAGGAGACCATAAACCAAAATATTTTTCTTTCTTGCTTCCCTTGCAAATTTCTTGATCCTAGTTAGTTCTTCCACTCCAATACTGAAAGAAGTATTTTCTGAAAAATCCAAATGCACCTGTGAAGGAATAAATATGAAAAAAAAAATCCACTTTTTCAAAGTGTGTTATTTAAGACTGCCAGTTTTTAATATCTCATTTTGATGTGTTAAGCACACACAAAAATACAGGCTAACAAAGATTCTTCTTAGTTTCTATTACTATTGAATTCCACCACTTCAATATTTAGTGACAGGAAAATTATTTGTTTTCAAAGCACAGTGAAACCAATATGCCACAACACATCAGAAAACAATGTTCTAACTGCATATTAAAAACATTTAATTAAATTAGAAAACAAACAATGCTGTTTTCTAAACTCTAATTAACTTTCACAGATTTTTTTTTTACTATCAGAATACTAGAGAAATACAAATGTTTTTCTTAAGCATCTTAAAGGTTTTCAAAATGTAATTGTATTCTTTAAAAATTTATTTTGAATTTACTATCATTTCAGTGTAGCATACTAAATGCCTAAATTGGATTAATGTCAAGACAACACTTCAAGTTTAAAAAGTGGAAACTACTTCAAAAGGAGGTAGGGATATGACTGTCATGAGCTCTTGGGCAGGGAAAGGCAGGTCTCACACCCAGCAGGGATGCTGCACAAACAGGGTGGCTCTTACAGGACTTGAGCTAGGATCTCCAGGTAGGTATCGACTAGCTCAGGGCTCTCTGAACCCTTTCTCTAGACTTACGTGGTCCCACAGTTCAATCAGTTTACTTCATAAAGTTTCTGTTAACTGCAGAAATCAAAATTAAGGATGATACTTTGTACATATAGATTTTAAGCATCTATTAATAGCAGAAATACCTTTTCTTTTAAAAGGAACAGACATTATTTTTCTGGCTGAATGATTCCATCTATATAAAATTTATCTGCAAATACTACAGAGATGTAGGAATATAGAGGTAGCCCCAAAGATCTTTGCTTGGGAAAATTACTTCAAGTTCCCTTTGTACCTTACGTTCAATTTATCCTGCCAGACAACAGGTTTTTACTCATTTTTCCTTGCAACACTTTTTAAAAAGCTATTTAGAATCAAAGTGTATATTCACAAGGAGAAAAGCTATTGTCTTCTACTACACAGAGAGAGATTAATTTTCAAACACTTGTTATTTCATTATTTTTTTACCCAAAACAAGGTAAGTATAGGTCATTTACTGCTATTTATAAAAATTTTAAAACCTGTTGAGAGAGCACAGCCTAGCACCTATTTACCATTATCCTGTTCCACAGCATTAAAAAGAGGTTTTCTTCAAACTTACTTTTGTACCAAAATGAAAATACTGGCAACTACACAGCTGAGATACTAGCATTCCTTTCTTAATAACCCCAATTAACAACAAAATAAAAACCATATCTATTCAGTTAGATACTTGCATCTACAAACATGAAAACATATTACTCAAGTCAGTTTAAGAATATGATTCTTCTGGTTATAGCGGAGCTGGAGCACATACTGGTTCAACGCAGACAAATAATTGAACAAAGTTTACCTCTATGCTTCCTATTTCTCTGTGACATTAATCTTCCCTTTTCTGCTATGTCCAGATACAGTAGTCCAACTGCTGCTTAAGCTTACAGATGCCACTAAAAGCTCCAGTCAGGCACCAGGATAAAGGACAGACTTTGCAATCTGTGGCAATTTATAGGAGGGAATACAGACAGAAGTCATCATGTCCAGTGCAAGCTCATCCTTTTACTGGGATAATTCTCCCCAGGCTGGTTAAATAGACAATCTGGCACAATAATAACACCTGTCATTTTTACAGCCAAAGAAGCTGAACTTCGTAAGGAAAAATAAAACCGATTCTCTTAATTATCAGATTATTATGAAAAAGTTACACGTCCTGAAATCAAAGAACAGACAAGAACTTTCTAATTACACAAAAGTCTAAATTAGATTGTTCCTGATTACGAGGTTAGGATGGAAGCAGTTAGCTGCTTTCCTCATTTATCCTTTCAATTCTTCATTACCAGGAACAGTTTTACTTCTGAGAGTAGAAAAGAATAATGTTTCCTGTACAGCGAGTACCTAAAACCTATGTATTTATGTTATCATATTGGTTAAAGTTCTGAGTCACTTTTGCCTGAGAAATATCAATGTGCCCTTTTACATCAAAACAAAGTGTCTTACACAACTTTTCACTAACAATGCATTTAGGGTTTATGTTAAATGAAGTATATAGCAAAGAATAAAGCTGAAGAGAGTCCCACTCTTAAGCCTTCATGCAGAGGATACCCAACACTGAATTTAATTAAAGACTGCTGAAGGAAGACTCTATCCCCCAGCTATACCATCTGTAATGAGTTTTAGGGATCGGAAGTTTAAAGGACTTAAAGAGTTCCCAGTGATTAATATGAGACAATGATTTGTTTAGCTAATTCTTTAGTCATTTAAAACATACTTTCCAGTCCTCCTATTTTTTCCTTCTTGTATTTCTAAAACATAGTGTGGTAATTCCATAAAATTTGAATGTGTAGCACAAAATGCCTTTTTATAGTAAGGGTACTTCATTTTTTAAAGATACTTTTAATAAATATATGTGCATCTGTGGTTTAGATGTTAGCATCTGCTTCCACCTCTAAGTTATAAGACTTCTCTCCCACTGCCTAGTTTTGGGAAATTTAAAGTAGTTGTCAGGAACAACTGATGGACCTGTAGTACAGTAAAGGGATTAAAAGTATCATTTTTTCCTGAGGCTATTTTAAAAGCTGTCCACCTAAATGATCTGTGCATGCTGCAGGCTGCTCAAGCTAGTGCACTTTCATTAAAAATGGTGCTGGATTCTGCAATGACTTCAAAATCTAGTATCTTACGGGCAAAACCCGAGTTTCGTGGTGAGCTTGTGTAAGCATTATTTGCATTCATACCTGTTTCTCAGGAAATATTAAGTCTAGAATATTTATAGCTACAATTATTAAAAAAAAAGTTCTCACATTCCATGTATAACACTAAAAAAGTACTTAATTCAAAGTCCAGAGTAGAGGTTAACTATTAATCGGGCACAAAATAAGCATGCTTTTAACTCCGTAGTATTACCTAGTTGATTAACAATTCCAACTTTATCTGAATATGTCCAAAATTTAACACAGACAGAAATGTTTTTTTATATTCTTGATAAAGAACTGATTAAAACATTCTCAGTCCAGAAAAAGAGCATTCTGCACATCCAATAGCCTTGTAAATGAGCAACAGAATTGGAGGTGTGTCATTGCTCTCATTATCAAAGGCAGAAAAACTTTCTTTGAAAATTCAGTAAAATTAAAGCTCCACCCTGAGCTTCCTCAGAAATAGGGTCAAGAAAAAAAAGATGGTCTGGAAATAAAGTGCTAAATATTGATGTTCACAGAATCACAGAATCTTACTCCAAGACAACAGCATACAACATGCAAGGATATAACTTTTCTCATTTATTTTCATTTGTTTGTTAGATTAGTAATGAAATTTCATCACTTAAATTCTAGGTTAAGCTCAAAATTGAGAAGTAAAATGCTCAGTTTTACCTCTAGATCACTAGACTAGGCACTTCAGAGACTATGCAGGCCCCATGTAAAATAACTATCTATTCCTTTTTACAGACCTTCATATATGGAATTATATTTTAAAATAGTAACATATTGTCTTGTGTTATTGCTGGAGAGTATAATAAATGTAGTCTGGAGACACACTCCTTGTGACATATGGCATTAATGACACTCATTCCACCCAATACTTCTCACCCCTACCCATTCAGCCAGAAAACATAATGACAGAATTAATTGGATCTGGTTACACCGCACAGAGACTTTCAAATCTACTCATATTTTCTCCTTTTTAACAGTCTCAATAAAACAAAAGTCATGTACACCTTCAGCTGTCATCCACATGAACTGCAGCAATATTCAAATAATGAGAATTTCAACCAAAAATACCCTGTAAAACTTTTGCCAGGTACCAGAATAGATTTTTCAGTCTCACAACATCTCAATAAGTAAAGTATATATTAAAGTTATATTGCAAAGTACTTCAAAGTTAGTTTTTAATACTTGGACCAGAAACGCAACAGTAATTTTAGAAGTTTGAATAAACCACACAGCACAGAAAAAAATAAAGCCACTTAATCCTGTTTCAACTGAGCATTCAAGCAGAGTACATCATTTGCAGCATCCCCAGCAGAGATGGAGCACAACAGCGAAGCAGGAGTTAACAGTTCAATATGGCCAGTCACAATGAGTCTTTCACAAATATATGTATACACTCCCTGAAAATGTTCAAGGCCAGGCTGGATGGGTTTTTGAGCAACCTGGTCTAGTGGAAGGTGTCGCTGCCCACAGCAAGGGGGTTGGAACTAGGAGATCTTTAAGGTCTCTTCCAACCCAAACCATTCTATGACTCTATGATATATAAATTGTCATTTCTTAGTGTTGGCTTATTTCCTGACAGCACGCAGTACATCTGCTGAAGTGCAAATGATGCTCTTTACAGTCCAATTTACTGTTCAAATTTACAATTCTATTCAGAGCTAGCAGCAGTTTAAACCTAGTCTAACATCTAAAAATATTTCATTAGATGCTTTCTATAATAACTTACAGGAGTTACCTACCGAAATAAGGACAACTGGATATAAGAGAGGAATATTCGATTTTTCCAACATATCCACTAGCTGCTGGGTTTCCTGAATGGCATACTTTTTATCCTAAATGAAAATAAATGTTTAGAATTATTGAAAACATCAAACAATTATTTCCTAAAAATGGAATTCAAAGATCTGTTATTTACCAAAAAAAAGATACATCAGTTTTTTGGGTTTGGGGTGTTTTGGTTGGTTGGTTGGTTTTAATGTATTTGTAACGCTTTTGTTTGGTAAAGTTATAGTTGTTTGTTTGAAAAAAATTGAGATTAATATCACCCTTAAGAAATATATATACATAACAAGCTTAAGGGTCCTGACTGGTCTTGGACATGTTTGATCTAAAACCTTCCTGTTCCCACACAGGGACTCAAACACAGCTTGTATGGCATGCATGTGTCCAAAATGGAAAACACTAATTTAGACCATGGTGGCAATGCAGTTAGATGACTACACACACGATATACCTCTTCTTGAGACAATTCTCTTCAATACAGTATCTACGAAAGGAAATTTTAATCTACTTTCAGTTGCATCCCTCTTGTTCAAGAATTCATGGCTAGTTTAACAACATACTGACAGAAGTGCAGAACAGGGAGAGAAAGAGCAGACCGGTATCTCAAAGGTCTAGTTTGGTGTACATCAGAAGCACCAAGCAAAGGAATGGATATATCAAGAGGATTGAACTAATAAAGAACTTATTATTCAAATATGTAATTATTATTTACCATTACTAGTAAGTTTAAGTGCAAAACTGAAAGCATGCATACTTACTACTTACATTTACGCAAACAAAATTGTAGCACTGTCCTGAAAAGATGTTTTGTAGATGGGTATCATTTTTGCTTAGAGATATTGATACAGCTTCAACCTGATTAGAAAAAAAAATACTACTGTGTCACATACTTGACTTCAGCTTTAACTATCTGCTAAAGCTTCCACCACTATGGCAGTTTGTTCATTCACATGATTTAAAATTGGCAATTATTATTTCTACTATGAGAATTAAAAATTGGTGAAATTTAAGTCTCTCAACAGTGAAGCATGGAGTCCAACACCACACAGTTTTCTACAAGTTTTTACTGAAGCGTACTGCTCGTGGGAGCCACTCCAAAAACAAAAAATCTGACGCTAGCGCTGCTGCCTGGGTTAGGATGTCCAGCTGTTCCTAGAGATGAAAACAGTGACAAAGGATCAAGACGATCTAATGATTTTAGACCTCTAATTCAGAGAAAATCTCTAGAATATTCAAATACATATATAGTCATCATGCAACTAAAAATAAAATAAGAAATACGTACGCAAGACCAGGCATACAGGTACTCAAGGATTCTGCATATGACAAGACTCATTTAGAATTTCTCCTGAAAATAATTTCCTTAATGAATACTTTAAAATACTGTCTTCATCACAGGCATACTTATTTTGCAAATTTTAACTATAAGACCAGCTAAGAAATTATCTTATCCTAGTTAAAATAAAAAGCAGATTCTACTACATTATCAGCTTCAGGATTGCCTTAAGTAAAATCACAAACCAGACACTAGAAGGGGAATTTGTTCCCTAAGAGAAGATGAAACTTTGAAGCCAGTAAAAAAACCCTTGAAAATAAGGCAAATAAATCACGTTGCTTCTACTAAACCAGCAAACCTCACTGTTCCACTGCTCAAATAAGCTTTATTTCTGCCTGGAAGACATATCATCTATAGCAAGCAAACAACAGAGGCAATACAGTACTGTGTTCCCTCAGAATGTCACTGAATCCCTAATCCAACAGAAGTACCAAATATAACATTTAAAAAGGCTTTGCGCTGTTATCTGAAGTTGTATTTGTTTATTTTTGTAATATTTGGGGAGCTAACTTGTTTGCAAAGGAAGGTGTTTTGAAATCCAAAAGTTGATATGTATGCACTGAACATTTTAGAAACATTTTGGGCTGAAAATTTTCTAACACAGACCCAACTAGTTGACATTTAATATTTTAAAGAATTTTAAAAAAAAACCCCAAACACAGAAGGCAATAATTACTTTAAATACTTTAGAAATGCAATACTCCAGGGCTCTCTTTGCTTGAACTTCTGTAGAAGTAAATACAGAAATCCCCTGTACCTTTACAACCTTGCAGATACGTGGATGAACAGCAGCACACTGCATGCCAGTCTTTCCAGAAGGTAAATGGAATATGACTTCAGGGAGAAGGTCTACTTTTTTTTCCCTTGAGATACTAAAATACTTGATGCTTAACTATTCCTGAACATTTGAAAATCAATTTAGCATATTAGAGTTTTGATTTAACTTGAACAATTTGATAAAGCAGTACACTGACCCTTTGTTTTACAACCCTATTATCCAGCAAAAAATAAATCAGACTTCTCTCTTGGAAAAGTAAGTACAGCTGCCTAACTAGAAGCCTCAATACATCATCACTTCACTAGAATTAATTCTTATTCTATTTGGTATGTTAGTATCCTATGCAAAAGTATTTTTTAAATTAAAACTAATGTTAATCAAAGTTATCAGCTACTTGAGAGAGCAAAAATTACCTAAAAATACCACCTGAGTAAAAGGTGAAAGGTGTTGGTCACTATGTTTCAGTGTCTGAACAGAAAAAAGTATATAGATTTGCTTAATCACTTCTGGTCATTGTAGCAACTGATATTCAGCTAGTGTAAAGAAGCAGACATGGTAACTTTTTATGAACATGAAGATAGGAAGAATAAAAATGTTTTCTTTAATGTTTTTCTACTTATCAGATGCCCTACGCTGAAGTTTCAACTTTATTCAACATTCACTTTAATAAAATCAAACAATAATACCATGACATTGGGAATCTGTAAAAGTTAGTTAAATTATATCAGAATTTAAAATCCCAATTAATACCAATCCAGCAGACGGACAACGCAATGATTATGAATCAGTGAATATCTACTAGTGAAACACTGCTTCATTTGCTAATTGAAAACAATGAAATATTTTTATATACTGCTGTGGATATTTATCCAGTCACAAAAATAACACACATCTTCATCCAGTTGATTACATTTCATGTGATAGGAGCACCATGTCACTGAACAAGCAGGAGTACCTAATTTCCAATCACAGAAGAAAACACCTTCAGCCCCATTTAGGTTTGCTTGCTTCAAAAGGAAGGGCTAAATAACAAACTTAAGGAGGACTCAACTTATGTCTTTCACAGTAAGATATCTTCTGCAAAGCACTCATTTATTAGTTATACAGTTTACAGTAAAATTGATTAAAATACTTACTCTTAAAGTAATTTGCAAGCATTAACTGTTGCCTTAGGTTTTTTTTAGAAAAGCTTCTATTTTTGTTTTCTTTATCTCATCTGCTGAATTTTTAGGTCTTTTTTCCCCTGCCATTGGCATTATCATGTTATCTGAGTCTCAGAAATCCCACTAACAAGACTTCTTTTGAATTCTTCTTTAAGGATGCATCTAGAAGTTAACAAATATCTTAAAAGTAAATATGGCTGCCACTAAGAACTGGCGTGTCAAAACTATCTAAAATGTTAAAATATTGACCATAGTTTGTTAAAATTTCAGACAATAAGTACTTTACTGAATGATTCCCAATTAGTGTCTTACTTAGATCAATTACCCTCCAGTGAGCCCTTTGAAAAGGCCCAGCTTTCAGTGTGGTAAGCTTAACTTGCTTAAAATAATTATCACATTGTACAGAGTCAAATTTCTCTCTCACAAGGTTACTGTGCATCACTTGAGAAATTATTGGCCAGGGCATATATTCTTTCTAAGGTGCTTCAAATTTAGAAGTTCCGTATACTGGCAAGCCTAAAAATTGAATCTTAGAGATTTTACTGTTTAAAAACAAGACAGTCAATACATAAATATCAGTTTTTATAGATTTTCAATCTAAGGGTTCATAAAATGAATGACTAAGGATATTTTCAGGAACAATACAAGAGAGGGATCTTAATGGAATTCTTTGGCAGGTGTCGCTTTGCAGGAATGTTTTGGAAGTGTTGAAGAGAAATTTAACAATCATCAACTTCATTACGAGGAAAGGCAACTTGGATCAAAAAAGAGAAGAACGATGCTAGAAATCATCAACTAAATTAACTGATTCAATAGAGCCATCAAAAAACCTCAGTCCCATATCTGTAGGAATCCCTTCATCTTATGCCCTCATTATCTTGTCTGCGGTCATTTTACGCACGTTTTATTCAAATGCACCATAGATTCAGGTGCCTGACCAACACAACAATTAACTGGTTTTGTAATGAAAATTTGGAAATACGTAAATTTTAACTGGTTTTCGTGCCAGTCTGATTTGCTAAGTTTGGAGTCACAGTGTTGGTTGTTCAAACATAACACATTCTTTGACTTTTCTTACTGGCTTGGAAGTGTTTCTCATGGTATGATTAAAGTGGTGATACACAAACATACATACAGCTGTAGATAAGTCAACAAATAAAGAAGTACTTTTTTTCTAATATGGGTAAATGATGTCTTCCTAGTAATTGCAGAATAGTTTAAACAGAGAGAAAACAGGAAAAATAGCAAGGGGTCTGGTATCAGTGAAATGGAAACATACTTCTGCTCCATTATACAGCTATTCAGACAAGAAAAGTTCCTGTTCAACTCTGTTAATATTTTACACTTATAAATACAGACATTTAGAAGATATAAAGCATGATTTTCCATACTAAATACATTCCTTTCCAAACAAAAACTGCAAGTACAATGTCAAATGACATTTCTAGATATAAAAAAGCAATACGGTTTGCTACAGAAAATCATCCTACTATTAACTAAGCACACAATATGGATCAACAGACATGAATAAAACCATTAACAGAAGTAGTGTTATGCAAATCGGGAAACCTGTATTTTTGAACAGCTATTCCCCGTCTGTTTCTCTGGGTAATAGAAAGATATGGTATCATCACATAAGATACAATTAAGAATCACCTCAAGATCAGTCAAGATTTAACCAATTACTAAACGATAATGACATTTGGGAAAATGAAAATATGTGATAGTCCCATTAGTAGGAATAATGAAAAAGGAAAAGATGAATGAAGATGAAGAAATGCCAGTAGAAAGTTCTATCAATATCCTACAGCAAAGGCTCAATGCGCATTCACTATGAGTGAAATGTACCCCTATCTCTCTGCAAAAAAGGCTGATTAATTTGACTTTGCATTCGCAGCTCTGCAGGAATACAGCTTACTCTTTAATTGCTTCAGACTTTAATTCAGACTTCAAAGTAACAAAAGCATTTCCTCTGTAACATACTTATAACAATTTGGGCTTACTGAATTCATAAAATCGAAAGAAAATGGCCACTCCGCTGTCTGGATCCAATTTCTCCTCTAATCTAATATATACATTTTAAGAAGCTCTGTAAGATCTCCCTCTACATCATAATTGGGTAGAAGATGCTTCTTTCTTGGTAACTTCCACACCTGGTGTTAATCCCTTGTAATAAATACTACAGTGACACAGCAGGTCTCAAGTTTCTGTATTCACATTATTTAGACCATTTCTTATGAGTTGTGACAACCAGAAACATTAAATTATTTGTACAGTTTACAGCCATAGAGTCGTACTTACTTTTATTTGGCTTTTCAGAGATTCATGAAGGAGAAAACCCACTTGTGCAACATCTTCCTTCACATTGGTAATAACACAAACTTGTTGTGATAGGTTGTCTGTGATCAAGAGAAAAACCTTAATATTTCATGCAATGATAAATCAATCAAAACTAATCTGATAAACATCATCTTCAATTCATATAGTGCTGTCTCTCGACAGAACCTTTACAACAGCTGTAAATTTAATTTTAAGATTATTTCTTTCAAGGCACAGTTAATATAGCTATAAAATTTATATATGTCTCAAATATAAAATTCATATTATATTTTATATGATTTTGTACAACATGAAAACATCACATAAAGGCTGTCTCCAAAGTCTCTTTAAATAAGAGACTTCTATGAAAAGGCATTTTTTCAGGCCCACATTACTGACACTAGAAGACAACAAAGAAAATAACTTTTTGAAATTCTGATATCACTTATTACTTCAGCAGATCACTAAATGCAGTGTTAGCAATATTGAGAAAACCTAAAAAAAAAAAAGGAGACACCATCCTCTCCCCAACACACTACATAATATCAAGAAAAAAAAAAGTATTGAAGATACTGTTCAGGGGGACAGCAGATATAACTGTTCACCTCAATATGAAAAGCTGCAGAGTCAGTGGCAAAGGTCTTGGCATGGGGAACATCTTAGATCTCCTACTGGTGAGGGAAACAATATAATATTTTGTGGATACCAAGAACAATTGTTTTAAGTTATTGCCTGATCTGCTCCACAAAGCAAGTATTTCAGAAAATTAGTATTCTGTTTTGTTATTGACTACAGTTTCAAGATTCAGTGAGCATTTTCCTTTCTTTAAGCAAACAAACAAACAAAAATAATTTAAGTGCAAAGCTCTCACTTCTAATTGAGGACTTTCGGTGTTGAATTAATATGCAGAGCAGATCATAAGATTTGCAATGTCTTTGGGGTAGTCATTCCACAAGCAGCTAGGAATTTCATAAAGGAAAAGTCTAATTATATTTAAAGCAGACTTCAATGAGACTTTGAGGACAGAAATACACCACACACCACCACAAAATAAATTAGTAGTGAAAGACACAGAAGAAATTATAAAAATATGGCCTAACTGCTCTTCAAACAAGTCCGAATGTAAAGATACATATTTGGTGCATGTGGAAAGGTTTTTTTATAATTACATGGCGCACAACAAGTTCAATCACATGCATTACTTAAGTAAACATCTCACGTTCTATTGTAAACTCAGGGACTTTGTTACAAAAATAGACATACAGATCCGAAAATTAATTTTAAAGCTGCTGCAGAGTTAACATTATTGGAAAGTGACTTGTGATTTTTAAACACAATTTTTTGTGAGCAGGAAAAGTGAATTAACCACTGAGAATCCCAAAAGATATATTACAATGATTTTATGAACCATGGGCATTTATTATGTCCAATATTTATAAAGTGACAATAAAAACAGTGGTAGCAACTGACTTTGTTTTAAGTTAGCAAGAATGGGGAGGGGGGGAAGAAAGAGAGAGAACAATAAACATCTGCTTATAAACCATCACAACCAGATGAAAGTGAAAATTAAAAAAAAGCATGGCCAGTTCTCACAGGACTGGAAATCACAGGATACCACAACTGTGGGAGAAATTATCTTCCCATAGATTCACTGGGCAAAAAAATACACTGAACATGCATCAAAGCTGGCTTCCACTTAATACACAATAACTTTACAGTCTAAAAAATCCATCAGTGGGAAACCATATTGAATTAATTTCTTATCAGCAGAAAGAAACCGGTAGGTAGATTAAAATCAGAGAGCAAGAGCCACTTGAATTTAGTACTGTATACAGAATGCAGATACGCTGCAGATACAAGATAGATGTACATAATAAACCAGACTGACATATCAGATTTCAAGAACTCGGATTCTATGGAACTAAGTAATATAATGACAAAGGTCGGATTGGAGCTATTACAAAAATCCACATGTGGAAGAAGGCTGTGGGAGCCAAGAAGGCACCATAACTTAAGCTCAGCCAGTTCTTTTCAAAAAGAAGTCAGTTATCAACAGCAAGAGTCAAAAGCAACCTCACAAGAGGCAGCTCAAAGACTGCAACTACTAAAGCCCATCTCGCTCCTCTCCCCAGCCCCCTTCAACCTCTAACTTCCCGCAATGTAAACGAGAAAGGAGAGAAGACTACAAAAAAGGCAACTAAGATTTGCAGATTGAATTTACTAAAGAAGAAAGCAAAATTTGAATCAAGTGCAAAAAAAAAAACAACGTATTTTCAATCCAGAGAAGGAATGCAGTGTTCAATGGGAAAGGCTATTGATAAAGTATGAAAAAAATTAAGTGATGGTAACACAAATTGACAAGATGTCGCATGCTTTTAAACGACCAAGAAAAATGTATAAAGGAAGCCTGGGAAATCATCATTTATAAAATCATCATAGCAAAACAACAGTGCTGTTCTAGCTGAGGTTTAAAACTCCATTTCAACTGAAATCCCAACTGCTTCAAGTGGCCAAAAAACCTCTTTATGTTCATTGAGATGGTCTGCACCTTTGGTGTATTGCAGGAAGGAGGGCTGAGCAGAGCCTCCCTCCCTGCAGCTGCTCATGTCCCACCTCTGGTAAGCTGAGGGAGCTCTCTGCCAGCCCAGGGAGGGCAGCTGGAGAGCCGGCTCCTGCCTCCATGGGTTTCAGGGGTTCTGCCAACTGTTGGCAAAGTTCCCCACATGCAGCATTCGTTTTGTCTCTGGCTTTCACAAGTCCATCCGGGTGAACCAAACAGTCATGCTGGAAAGCCACGTCGTGGAAATGTCACAAAGAAATTTAACACTCGGCTAACAAAATTTTGGACTGTTGGGTAATTCAGGCTGGAAGGGACCTCCGCAGGTCTCTAGTCCAAACTCCTGCTCAAAGCAGGGTCACCCGCGAGGTCAGGCCTGCTTGTTCATCTCCTTGCCCCCCTGGCTCTTGAAAGCCTTTGGGAACGGAGACTGCACCACCTCTCCAGGCAACCTGTTCACTGCTCGGTTGTCCTTGTGGTGAGAGAGTTTTTCCTTTTACTGAGTTGGAACCTCCCTTGGCTCAGTTTTTGCCCGTTACCTCTTGTCCTCCCACCATGCACCACTGCTCTACTTTTCTTCCCTACTTTCATGCCACGCCTTCCTTTTCATCTGCCCAACATTTTAATTTTTTTCCTCTTGCTATTACATTACCTATCAGAACCTCTCTCTGGCTTTGGCTTCCTATTCCTCTGTTTCAAACTTATTTCCCTAGAAACCTCCTCTTCCCAATACACATCTTCCATTTACTTTCGGCTTCTTCCCAGCTGTACCTGCTTATGCAGTAACCCTCCCCATACAACATGACATTTAACGCCCACTCAGAACATATTTTTTGCATAAAATTAAAAATAGTTACAACTTTGTACTGCCAAATTCCATTAGGTTAAACATTAAATTTCTCCATCATGAAAGGCGTAGGAATTTTCTTCATTAAATTGGATACAGGATTTCAGAATTTGTTCCATTAAACTTCCTTTGCCATCCAGCAGAAAAAATAATTTTCATTTTTTCTATGCCCTTCTTTAATATCCTGAAAGGTTTAGATCATATTATTATTCAGTAACACCTGTTACAGTCTTTTCCTAGGATCTCACCCAAAATTATATATTGGCTGCGTGTTTATGGAACTGAGTTAGACAATGTAATAAGTGTCTTTTAAGACTGACTTAAAAGTTTACCCTGAAAAGCATGCCACAAATAAGCAGCAATTAAAATAATACTTTGTTTAAACAAAGATCATAAATACAATATCGTAGGGAATTAATAGCATAAGAATAAAAATGCATCTGAATAGCAAATAGATTTTAGCCCACAGACGTGAATTTTTTCTCTTAGTTGTACATATATGTGTATACACACATTTGTTTTTGTAAACATATGTTCATACCATGCCATTCTTGGTCTGACATTACATCTCCTACTATTTTGGAAGCACATCCTATTCATCATACTTCTGAAGTTTGCAGTGAATTCAAAACAGTAAATTAATTCATCAGAATTCTGTTTTCACTTTCTACACAGCAATGGCTTGACTGGTCTGGAAATTCAGTATGCTTCTCCCTAGCATTTTTAGTATCTCATAGCAGAGATGTTTCTACCATTACAAACACAATAAAAATGAAACAAGTACTTCCAAGCATTTAGTTCATTTATGTTCAACAGACTGAGTTGTAATTGTTATTCGTATAACACAGGTAACCAAAAATATCTACCAATTTTCTGTTTATTCATTCCACATTTCTCTAGCTACAAAAACAAAAGCCAAATTTGATATTGCCCCTACCAGTATTAGCATACAAGAAACAGAGGAAGATTTTGCAGTAGAAGACAAGGAAGAGGGTTGTTTTCACCTGACTATTCTGAGGAGTCCCTCCCCACCTGCCAGTCTATTTCTTTGCCTCACAGAACAGCCACTGGTTAATGAGCATGACCATGAAACTACAACCTACCTCAAGTAAGATATCTGTCTTTTGATACACAAGGCTTACGCCAAATTTTTTTTTTTTTTTAATAAAAAATCATGTGGGTTCTTCATATAACAAAAAACATAGTATGCAGCTCCCAACAGTCGTAAACAGTTTGAAGGCTTTACGACATTTTTCCTGGCACTCACAAAACATAACTGTATCTACATCAGCAGATACTTCTTTAGCTAAATGTGAGGGCAAAATACCCAATCTGCAAGTGCACGCTGTTGTGATAAAATTATTGCAGAAGAAGGGCCCTTAAGAAACGAAAAAGGAAGCGTGGAGAGAGTCAAACTTTAAGTTCCAAAGTTCTACTGAGAAGCACCATTTAAAGTTTACATGTTGGAACTAGAGTTCAAAGATACCTACCCCAAGGGCAGCAGTCCTAATGGAAATTTTTTAGGATGTTTTGTATTAGCCTGATCTTAACTACCTTTCTAGATGAGTCACCCTTATTGTAAGATGATGTTTTCTTATTTCAAGACTATTAAGAATAGGCATGTGCCACCTTGTCTGCATACTCTGCAAGTTCATACCTGCTTAAATAAAGAAAAG